ATTGGGTAATGTGCAAATATAAAACAAATCGGTACTTCAGTATTAAACGGAGGCCACATTTTGTCAGCGCGCTGCGGCGGTTATGTTAGGTTGGGATATCGTAAATATTATGTGTGTAGGACTTTCCTCGCTTCGTTATGAATCGAACGATACTTTCTATTATGATAACCCAACCTAACATAACCGCCGCAGCGCGCTGACAAAATGTGGCCTCCGTTTAATACTGAAGTACCAAAAAATCATTAGCCTATATTTATTTTATTATTTAGGCTAATTCAATAAAAATTTATATTTACATTTAAAGAGTGTAATGTAGGTACAAAGTCTAATGTTTAGGCCTATTGAGCACTAATTAATTGTTTTCTGAATTCCATTGAGAATTTTGATTAGGCCTATTGAGAATGTTAGCCTATTGCATTTCCATCCTTAAAGTGTCAACTACCGTACTGGCATGTTTACCTTAAATAAGAGCTGATTATTTAGTTTCCAAACTTAAATTGATTTAATTTCGCATTAAGTCGAGTACCTATAAACAGCTGTTTGCTCTACTCACTTAGTCCACAGCCCACATACGGACCCGTCCAGACCACGTCATATTAGGCTACCATCATTACCGCTTTTAAATTCGTAATGTTAACCTTCGTTTTACAGCCACATAGGAATCTCTCCGACAAAAACTGATTGCATTTCTGGATTCAGCGTGAAAAAAACTGTAAAAGTAGACATCTAAAAATTAAGACCTATATATCCCAACGTAGGCATAAGCTACTAAATAACTGCCACTTTTTAAAAATAATTTTATATGAATTTTCAAAGCTGTAATTAGTCATTTTTGAAACACCCTGAGGAGAAGAGTTATTGTTTAGTTTATGATTGGATCGTTTTAACTTAAGTATTTGGTTACCGTAAGTTAAATGAGGTTTTAAATTAACTTACTAAAATAACAAGAAACTAATTGTAAACAAAAAACGACCTCTACAGTGCACCAGACGGAACTAACGTTAAAATTGACTTCAGCTGTTCCATAAGGATGATAGCCATTCCCGTCACGCAGTGTCCCTCCGTGTTTAGCTCAGCCCATGTCTAAGTTATTATAAGTAAAGGAATCCTAATATAGGCTAGCCTATTAACTTAAATCAATAACAATTGTATAGGCGTACCGCTTAGTCCATTAAGTACGGTTAACACGGGCAATCCCTCAAATAAAAACTTTAAAAAAATAAAAAGTGCTCTACCGGTACTTATTTATTATGACTTATAATCATTGTTCTGAAGTTGTGTGTGCATTATTTACGAAATAAATTAACTTAAGCAGCCTACACTTTAACTTACCAGTACCTGTATCATTTTTTTTCGTTAAGTTAGTAACTTAGGTAACTTATTGCCGATAGAAAAATAACAAAACCCAAAACACAAAACAGTAACTTACTAATTCAAATATAGCCTACTTTTATTGAATAAATGTAAAGTCATAGGAAAGAGTCAATAAAAATTCATATTTTGATTAGGCCTACTGTAGGCCTACCTTAAGTAGGACTATGTAAGTTATTAAGTAGGCCTAGGCCTACAAACTTAAGTTAATTGATGCTATCCAAATCTTATCATAAAATTAAGTTCACAACAGAACTTAGGCCTATTGTCGTAGGCTAATTAAAGATTCTAACTTACCATTTCACCACGAGACAGGATGTCTAAATTTATGTTTAATGTCCTGCAGTCTCGAGTGTTGCCCAGTTCCTATCTTTTTAATTTTATTTATTTCGACGGCAATCGCCATTTTACAAAATATCACCCAGCGTGGGAGCGGTTACCTAAGTAGGATACCTACTTAGATGTAACTTAGGCAAAGTTAGAGATTCTTAGAAAGTGGCGGTTAAGCCGAACTGCTCTCAAAACAAGGTCAGTAAACCAAACTTATATTTGACGAGAGAGGGCTGATTCCGTTAATTTGAGGTCAGTTAGGAGGGGTCTAGGTAGCCTATACTGTGAAAAGGCTCTGCAGACCTAGGCCTAACTTAATAAATAAATAAGATAGCACCCGTAAGAGATAAACAGGTGTAGGCTTAACTTAAGTTATTCTTATTGTAGTGGTTTGAAGCCAACTTGTCTTGGTCATAGGACTAGCCAATGCTACTAAGTTTAGTTAGGCCTAATAAGTTTTATTATGGTAGGCCTATGTAAACTGGTCCATCAACCTTTTTTATAATCCAACAAGTTATTCCTTTTACAAGATCTGGTTAAGTTAGTAACAATACGGAAACCGTCCTCGTTGTATAAATGTTTTCGATAAGTGACAGGTAAGTTTTTTATCGCTTTGACAACGCCTTTAGACAGCGGGTAGGCTTAGGAGCCTCCATTATTAATGCTGTTATCACCGAAAATGTACCACATCGTTTGCCGGTGTAGTGGAGGTAAAGTTTTAGGTTTAGTGAACTATTATTGCTTAAAGTTTTATCTTAGATTAATATTGGCCTATTCTAGGCCTACCTCCAATTCCCAAACACGTCAGACCGTAATCCAGCCAGCTCCTTTTTCGTCGGTTGCAAGGTAGTATTGCAGACCAGTCACTCACTATAATTCTCAATTATTTGTGCACTGCAATTCACTTAACACACTAATCACATTTAAATTGATTAATTGAAAGTTCTAGTTTTGGATTCATACAAACACAATTCGCTAGAATGTCTTAAATACTAATATACAATCTAAATTACTATTGACAAGGACCACTATCTGGGCAGGGTGCGGCTTCCCTCTACTAAACTCTGCAAACCCCGTAGCAGGAATGACGTCATTGCTTTCCCGCGCGATTTGAAATCCATAGCAGCATTTTGATTATTCCTCTCATCCCTCCATGTACTTGTTAAATAAAATTATTTGTCCTAATTTTAGGACGGTTATTTATCCAAAACTTAACCATTTTGAACGTTTAAAACAGCATATCTTAACCTTATTTGTGAGCTTCAAGACTATATAAGTACTAAGTCTAGGCAAGATTTGATAGTAGCTATTAAGTTAGTGTATGCTAACAAGTGCAAGTAAAATGTACTAATGTAGGCTACTATACTCTATCTTACAAGAAATATTTGTTAGGAGAGTCAGCCATGTACAAAAATTGTTTTTTATAAATAAAACTATTTGAGATATGCCTATAGTTTTTTACCAAAAAAACAATACTCTTTTTATCTGGGTTGAAATTCTGCTCCATTTCCATTATGAATCATTTAAAAATGTTGAGGGGTTTCTTTTGTAATGTTCATAAACAATAAACAAACATACAAATCTTCAAAAAATTGTCTGACAAGGTGGATAAAAACATCACCCAGATTTCTATCTGTTTCTATCCATTCAATACACTTCATGTAAAGATGAAGCTATTTTTTTAATGACTTACTCTGAAGTATAAAATAAGTGCACATTTAAACATACCTCTGAGTATGTAAAGATGTACAAACAAGCATTACATAGTTCATATAGGCTATACAGTTTGCATGTGACTACAAGATCCTTTATTCAGCAAGCAAAACTTTTTCATTACCACTAAAACTGGGTGCCAGTTAATATGTTCGGTTAAAAAAGCAAAACAAAATGCCCACTTTTTCTTAACGATAAGAAATATTGCTAGTCAGAAATAGCAGCAAAAGAATAAAACTGTTTAGTCTTCTGAATATGTTAATAAAAAGAAATGTTGGCGGACAGACTCAATGAGATAATATTTATTTATAAGCGTTGGTAAAAGGGCAGAAAACCCTTTTTACAGACAAGAAAACTATAAAGATTGGACAGAAATCATCAATTAGCTACTGCATTGCCTTGACAAATAGTTTATAGAATATCAAATTATGTTGAGAACAAAATAAATTCAACAAAGTTGGCACATTTTTAACATTACAAAAGTACATTTAAGTTTTACATCCAAACTATAATTTAATAAAATAAAAACCACCGATAAACTACAAAGTTAGCGCTGAATTTCCTAAACCTGTATTCACCAATGGGTTGCTTTTATATTGCACACAGTTGTGCTAAATTATGAAAATATTTTTAATGATCGATCATTCTATACCAAGTGGGAAATGAAATACCACTGACTGACAGATGATCACTATATCTCACTAGATACGAGTATAAGACCTAGAATTATAAAATTTTGTATTGGGGTCCCTGTATGATGTAGACGTGCAATAAGACGAGGTTTCACAAAATTCAAGATTCAAGGGGGTATAGGGGAAACTATTTCCAGTGAAATTTGATGATGTAAGCCTTTATATTTAGGTCTTTATAAGCTAAACAATGCTGTAATCTTAAATCTGATGTAAATTGTTTGTGAGGGATTAAATACACTGCTTGTTAAATAGGCCAACACACACCAGGTGATTTTGACACTATGAAATCGCTCAGTGAACGATTCATTGCATATATCTGTACCCAGATGTACACCATCTTCCATCATTAGCGAGGTAGAGATGTTAAATGTTACTCCCACCTCAGACACTCTTGGCTGGATAACCATTTACGATTGTGTCATTATTTTCCACACTGTTAGTGAGAACATCCGTGACCGCAGAAGACGTTTTATATTTTACCATGATCGCGGGAGACAATGATGATGTTTCCTTGACCGTGTAGGAGATGTTCAATATTTTTTTATGGTCACTGAAATAGATGATTATTTTTCTGTGACCATGGGGATTAGTCTAGAATTTTTCCATGAAGATGGAAAAAGATTGTAATGTTCCTTTGTTAGTGGGATACATTAAATATTTTGCCACAATTGCGGAGGATGAGGATAAATGTTTCCACGCTTGCAGAAAACAATGATGACGTTTTCAAGATCACGGGAGACGGTGATGATCACCACACGACCATGGCAAATAGTCACGATATTACTGCGATAAAATTGTCACTGATAGATGAGGTCAGAGTCAGACTAGCCGTGGTTGGATTAAAGGGTTCTATTGTATTTTAATTTTAATATAGTGGGGAGAATAATATCAAAATTGTAACAGTACTACTTGGTTTATTTACACTTAAACCTACATAACAAATTGACTAGATTGAAAATGAGAAAACAATGTCAGTTAAGATAAAAATATATTCCAGCTAATCCAGATTAAACCGAAATATGGTTTCAAAAAATGTCAATATTAAATAATTAACAGAGTAGTCTGATAGGGACTAAATCTTTTCATTTTATTATGAAAGCTAGTATCTGAATTCAGTATTTAACATTACTGGGAGCATTTGCAATATTTCTAACATAGATAATAGAATTATTTTTCAATAAATAATGCATTTAATCATAGTGATTCAACTTCTTAAACCGTTTGTAGTAAAAGTATTTTTAGAAAATAATTTTATAAGTCACTGACTATTTACTTCCTCATAAAATTTACACAACAATTTTGTTGTTCAAGATTTAATAAGTAAATTACCCTGATTTAAATCTTTACTTAAAATGCTGTACTATGAGTACTAAACATAAGTGGTTTTCATTCCATTTATCTGGACCAAATTGCTCCTTGACATTCTGTCGAAGAAAAGTAATCCTGAGGCTCGCTCAATGCTTTCTGGGGGTACCTGAAAATGACAAAAAGATGAAGTGATTTTGTTTTACACAAAACACAAAAAAATATAATTTTCTGTACTATTCTAGCTAGTAGTATTCCTAGCTACAGCCCTGCTTGGAGGCTCAACAGCATGTAGGACGGTTGTCGGTGGACACGGTCTTCCCCATGATGACGGAGAGTGAGGACAATTGGACCTGTGTGTCTCATTACATCCAGGGTCTCCGTGCAAAGAAGCTTTACCGTGACCGGGATGCAGTCTAGGTCAAAAAGGAATTGAATGCCAGAAACGGCTTGAGCCCTGAGGGCCTAGGTCACACGTTGACCTGACCTGTAGTAATGTGACAAACAATTCCAAGTCTGTGTCCAACAGAGTAGAGGAGGTTTTTATTGAGTAGTCTGATAAGCTCAGGAGTCTCACATCGCAGTGACTACGATACAAGATCTAGAGCTTTGGTTTGTTATAAACGGCCTTCATTTAAATACTAGTAAGACGAGTTTAGTTCATTTTAGAAACTTACAGAGTGGGGAAGGAGAGTTGAAGCTAAGAATTAGCGGTAATGATGTGGGAGTTCAGTAAAGTTATTAGGTGTTGTATGTGACCAGAACTTAAATTGGCGGGAACATAGGCCTACGACACAGCTATGCAAGAAGTTAAATGGTATATGTCACAACATGAGCTGTCTAACTCATTGCACAAGTATTGGAACTAAAATGACACTCTACTACGGATATTTTTATTCATTAATAAAATATGGTATAGTGTTATGGGGTAATACTGAATTTTCTAAAGAAGTACTAAGAGCACAAAAGAAAATCTTGAGAATAATGACTTTAACATGGCCAGGTTCTACATGCAAAAACCTATTTAGAAATTTGAAAATCTTTAAAGTAAGTATTTATATTTATGAAACTTTAAACCATGTAAAGAACAACCTAACATGGTACTCAACTGAGAAAACCCAACACCATTACAACACAAGAAATAAAAATTTACTGGTTTAAGTGGTTTATCCACACCACTCTACCACTGCTCTAGAAAAAGGTATTTATTACATGGGAATGAAACTTTTTAACAAATTAGCAAACAACATGAAAGAAGCGTCTCAGGAAGATTTTTCAGAGAATGTTAAAAGATTATTGGTCAGAAAGGCCTACTACAAAGTTCAAGATTTTTTGAATGATACTGAAATATAATCTAGTGGTTCTAGTCATTTAGCATGAATTTTATTGTTTTATATTAGCCTATCTACTTTCATATGTTTATCACATTGAACCACTTTACGGGAATTATTTATTTGTGTCAAAATCGTCAATTATTGTTCATATATTTATTCTCTGTTAATTTTTTTGTTGCCATTTCGTTAACGGTAGATTTACAAATTTTATACCTTGTTATGTTAGAATATGTTGTATTGTAGCACTAAATTTAAAACTGTGATCAACATCTTAGGAACTAATTTATGTTTTAGAATAATTAAGGACTGACAAAAAAATTTTAAGAAATCTAGACGAACCACCTGTACATGTGATTTTTACAAGTTTGTATGTTATGTGCAAATAAATTATCATTATAATTCACCTACTGATTGGAAGGTTGCTGGTTCGAACCTGCAAAATGTAAGTAGCTTTGTGATTCCAAATTGGACCCGAATCATTGGGCAATACATGGTCCCCGCTGAAGAACAGCTGATCTTAGTCAGTAACAAAGTTATTATCTCTTCTATTCAACACTCGTCTATTGGTCATCTTCACCATAAAACACTAACTTTGATGTGACAGCATCTTACGAAAACATATCTACTGAAATAGGTATAATAAATAATCATTTGTTTTTACAGTTTATATTCAGGCGTATTTCGACTGACAAATGTTTTCCAAACAAAATCTATCCATCATGTCTCATTACGTCCATTACGTCTCATCATCAAGCATTTGGTTGGGATTATGATTGTTTTTTTAATCGCCTGAAACATATAGGTATATAAAAAAATCAGAAACAACATTGATAACAGATAAATTTAACCAGACTGAGGTGAAATAACTATTAGTTGACTGAGGAATCACCAATTGAGGTAAATATCATTGTTTTACGCTATTCTTACCATGAAAACATTCAAGGGAGTGTTGTCAGCTATTTTTTGATTAGGCATAACGTAGGCCTCCATGTGCAATTTTTTGTCATGTAGCTCCATTACAACAATTTTGAAGAAATGGGTAGGAACAGCTACATGAGAAGTGCCTATTACTTGGTATCTGATGTACAGTTTACCATCTGATTCAGTTCTGAAAACATGAGACTAAATAACATAAAAAGACACAAATAAAACTATTGTCGGGACCACATAAGTTTGCAGTTGAGGGAGAAGCCTATTTACCATATGGTTTTGAATGAACCAATGAGAACGGTGCGGTGTTGCCAAATCTAATAATACCAGCTGATTTGAAAATATTGCTTTTATATTTTAATTAGTGTTGTCAATGGGTGATGTGGAAACGTCGCGCTAGCCTTGTCTTGTGATTGGCTGCCACCAACTGCAAACTGGTGGTCCCGACAATAGATAAACAGTATCAGCAAACTGACATGACTGTAGTTCCATTGGCTTGACATTGAATATCCTACTACTTTATATAAAAAAAAAAAAAATTACACTCACCAGGTAACTGGAGGAGTGGCTAAAAATAATAACTAAAAATTGAGGATAAGAAAATAAAATAAAAGGTAAAATAATACAGTCCAACCTCAGTATAACGAATCTGAAGGGACCGAACTGAATATTCGTTATATCAAGGATTTTGTTAAAACGAGGTTCGTTATATAGAGGTTAGGTTTGCAGGAATTTCGCTAAGTCGAGGTTCAGAACCAGCGTCGGTCAATATAGATCGGGATTTGACCTCATTAAAATACAATTAAAGTAGCATAGGCTACGCTACAATACTTTACAGTACAGTATTTACATTGTACAGTAGAATCTAAATTATCCGGCATAATAAAGGGGAGGGATCTTGAATATTGCGCAATCATGAAAATGGCATTGACCTTGGTACAGGTTAAAAGCTGTAAGTTTAAAATCACAACTTGTTCTAACCCTCCTAAAACCTAGCCAAACACTGTATTGCGTTTTGCGTAGTCATAAACCATGTAAAGAACAAAACAAAACGGTAGAAAGTTTTCTAAGCTACTGCTCGTGATAGGCCGGTAGGCTACTTACAGTACAGTACTGATTTATCACAACAGAGAAATGTCAATAATAATCATTAACTGTAGCATTGGTGTTGCTAATTGAAACAAATCGTATTGAAAACAATAAATTATTAGATAAATCATTATAAAAGTGTATAATCATAGCCAACTTAAGGATAATAAAAACACTCGTAAAAGGAATGTTAAGATAACGTCGATAACGATGTTGCTATTCTTTCTCTTTGGTTTTGTTTTTATATTCTTTCTTAGTTTTCTCTTTATCCAAAAATTGTAAAATTCACCACAGTAATCCCATATCGCCCAATCACAGCTTACTAAACATTACGTCGTCATCAGTCCTCATTGAATGAAATCAGTTCTCAGTTGCAACATAGCGCGCGCAGCGACAGCAGACAAAGATGTAAAACGGAGCAGACGAATGTTAGCGCAAGCGATGTCGTGACCTTTCCATTTCATATGATAAAGAAACAGATTTTCCCAAAACAATAATTGGGTGGGGGATTTGTTATATCGAGGGAAAGACGTAGACAATTCGTTATGCAGAGGTTAAATTCGCAATGTAGAGGTTCTGACAATGATAAATTCGTTATATTGAGGTGTCTTATTTTAGCCGGAATCACAAAAAATTCGTTAAATCAAGGTCGTTGTTATGGTTTGTTCGTTATGTAGAGGTAAAATATACATTGTGTCTTATGGAGAGTTCTAGGGGATTAAAAAAAATTCGTTATATCAAGGAATTCGTTATATCGAGGTTCGTTATATCAAGGTTAGACTGTATTGTTAAATCAATAACTTCATTACCATAGGCCTACTCAATGTTAGTGCTAGAAGATACATAGAATTTTAATGTAGGCTACCGACAGTTTTATAAAATCAGATCACAAGTGTACTTAGAAGCCGTACATTTAAATGAAATTTGTTTGGATTTTTTATGTTGAAAATCACAAAAATTTTACTCTTAATTACTTTTGAATGATAATATTGAAGCGTTGCAGAGTTGTACCAGTTAGTTCAGAATTAATAGGACTGTACGAAATTTCATTCAAAATTGTCAGAGCCTTTTTTTGTAAAAATCAGATTTTCTGTAACTTTATACAAAAATCATAATTAAAAATCTAAATTACAAAAAGGTGAAAAAACGCCTGTATATACCATGGACCCACATACAGTACCAAGTTTCATCTATAGGACCACAGGTGTTCTTACTTGATACTTGAATCCTGCATATTTGACAGATCTAGTGTGATAAGATTGTGTCATAATTTATAATATAATAAAACTATATACAATATTTACAAAACCAGTATGTTCTGTGTAGTCTGTAGCTCTTTACACATCCACACCATAACGCTTTGATTAGGTCGAGGACCTCCAAGTAAGTGTCAAGTCAAAGCATTCTTTATTTTCGTTGTTTTGTACATAGCGTTTGTACAATGCGTCATTTCTTAAAACTAATCCTTATAGCTACCTAATACAATTTCTGTCAATAAGTAAGCACCATAATTTCTGTTTGGCAAATGTTTGATTTAAGGCCATTAGTTATTTAAAAACTCATCTACACAAACCATGTGCGTGTACAAAATCTCATTCAACCATTCAGTTGTACAATGAGGACACTGATTGTAATCTAGTGAGTATAGTATAATGCTCTCACAACTAGGTGTTCTTTTAATCTTCTTTTAAATTTTGAAAACTCTTGATTTGTGTCTATTATGGGAGAAATTTTATTTAAAAATTTAGATCCTATATAATTTGGCTTTTTCTTTAACATTTTTAATCTGCGACTTTGCAAACTTATTTTTTTATCGTTTCTTGTATTATAATGCTGGATCAACTGAACAGTATCAAATTGCTCTTAATATTGTCTTTAACGTGGTCAGTTTGTTCCATATTTAGCATTATTCTGGTTTATTTTTTTCAGTTTTATATCTCATTCTGATTATTAATACCGTAGTGGTTTCTCCATAAACATGTATATTGTAGACTAAATGAGAATAATCATACCATGAGACCATTTTGAGTGTTGTCAGATCAGATATACCTATTTCTTAATGTCCTAAAGCAGACAGACCTGATTTCATTTTAGCCAGTACTTTTTCCATGTGGGAGTTCAAACTGAGACTGCTGTTATGAGCTCGTAGGCGGCATAATTTTAAGATAAAGGAATAAAACAAAAAACGTCAACCACTTTGATAATACCTCAGGTTGTGTGTGGCACTTATGTACAACAGTTGCAGCCTACTTTAAATGCTCTTTGATATGTATATAATTTAAAACAAAATACCCCCGCCGCAGCAAACCTGCAGACTAAGCGAATTTCCATTTGACTGATTGGATGTACACTGAAATGTCTACTTAAAAATATAACATTTATTCCCGATTTAAATAGAACTAGTTTAACAAGTACTTAGGTTTGCTGCATCAGGGAGGGTAAAACTGTGTTTTTTTTTGTAAAATGTTAATAGTTAGTAAGAAATAAAAACATTTTCCAAATTTGATCAAAATATGTTCATAAACAAGCAAACTACAACAGTTTACTTATTCTCCATAAGAATAACATGGGAATTTTAAATTTACAATTTTTTGGAATTTTCTCCGTAACCATTAGGCGCATAATAACGCTTCAATATACTAAATTATTTGTTTTTTTAAGCTCTACAAAATGGTTTGGAAAGAAATTGCAAAATTTTATGTTTTTTGGGTCAAAAATGGGAAAAACCTATTTTTACCCCATAAAACCCCCCATAAACCCCCGTTCCCAAGATCCGATCATGCTGGATCGCGAACTCGTTCGAATAAACGTAGGTTTACACGTTTGTACCAAATTTCATCAAAATCGGATCATTTTTGCTTGAGTTATCGTGCTAACGGACATATATAGGCTATATATATATATAAATATATATATATATAAATATATATATATATATGAATTTGAACGAATGGTGTTTTTGGCCTCTAGAGACCTCAAAACGAAAAAAAAAATCGGTCCCGCGTCCAGGTCTTACCATGAGTACTATGGTAATAGCTTATTCCCTATATGGGAAATTTGCTAACAATAACAGATTTTTTATTTTATTCCAAAACGTCCCTTGCTTCCTGAACCGCTCTAGTATATTCTATGACTAGATTGTTCCAAACTATATGTTGCTTACTTTGGTAAGTAGAGTGGTCCAGTGCACACATAAACATTGGGGTATATTCTTGTAAGTCTCCTCACATGCTGTTCCAATTTGTTCCAAGAGTCCCTGTTGAAGCCGACCCCTACCTGAGGAGCCATATTGGACAGTAGGAAGGTTTGGTCCACATGTCTCTGACATACACGGTGATTACCAGCCGCAGCGAGATGGCCTCTGTCAAACCCACTGCCTTTGTAATCTGAGTTTCTCGATCTGAAATGAAATCATCTATTATAGGTACTGTAAAATTCAATGTAGCCTATGTCATTTGTCATCTGTCGTATGTTTGTCCTTTATGCATTACGAAACTGGCCGTCCGATTGTGATGGAACTTTGGGAAGTTGTTCTATAATACCACAAAGAAGCTTTCTGTCCCATTCCCATTTTTGAACTCCCTTGGAGCTCCGCCTGAATGGCTCTGGAGTACCTCATGTTTTTACCTTAAAATGGGTATTCGTATTTAATAAGAATCAAAGCATGTTGACAGCTGTTTCAAATAAACCATCAAATTGGGTTGTATGATGTTCCATAGCATTAAGAAATTACAAGGCTTAACATCAGGATAACAACAACAATAATAGGTAGGTAGGTAACTTACTTTCTCTACAGTAGGCCTACTGTATGCAGGGGGAGAAAGTTAAAGTCATTTAATAAACGGAAAAGAATAGATGTTTAACAGATTGAAATTATTAGGCCTACCTAGAGTAATAAAAGATTACTAAACTTAAAAGTAAAAGTTACCTTACCTGAAATATTCATGTATTGATTTATCTTCTGTGAACTCACACTTGGAACGATCCACTTGATCATTTTTCTTTACTGATTCAGCTGTTAAATGTTCAAAGACCCATGCAGCAACTCTGTTACGTCTATCATAAGCTAATACATAATCGTCCAAAGAGCGTACATTATCCAAACTGGGAAAACCATACTTCATTATCTGAAAAATAAAGGACATTAAAATTTTCCCGAAATAGAAAAATCCCAGCATTTTATTTTAAGAAGCTGATAGATGGTGTGCGATAGAAACTAGCCAACATCTGCCATTATTGGATGGTTTTATGTAGATTTTGAGCCAGCTGAAGCCAGGTCAACAAGTAATAACTTACTTCCACCCATGTAGTCTACTAAGGGGTGCAAGGACTTAGGCGTGTAAGTGGTAACTTAAATTAGTAGGGACCTAGAGGCTAAGTTAAGGGGTGTCGCATCTTCAATGCTGATTGAGAAAATAAGTCTTCCTGTAGAGTATTTAGATGCAATGACAACTTCCAGCACATAATTTTATCATGATTTAATAGATTAAAGTAACTAAGTTAAATGTACTTATCGACATTCAGATTTTAGGTGCCCAAATTCGTAGGATAAATCGAGAAAAGAGCATTTAACCCAAGTCCCAGTCATGAAGAAAACCCAAGTAAAACCACAAACTGAAATCATTTGACACAACTAAGTTAGGTACCTACCGGTAGGAAAAAAAACAGAAACTGATAAAGATAAAATTGGTAAAACTGAGTTTTCACTACTTATGTTATTTTGACTTTTTTTTACTTTATTTACCTAAATTAGACTTTTTTGAGCACTTTTTACATTTAACACTTTTGGGGGAAACGCCGTTTTCACCCTCAAAATCGCGTTTAAAGTTTGCCAAAAATTATCACAATAAGGCCATAGGTAATTAGGCCTATCTTATGTCGACCTCCAGTCAACGCTCTAAAAATTAATTTTTTTTTTATCTGTTCGTTTTTTAATGCTGATTCCAAAAATGATATTCATTTTTTGCGGAAACGTCCCGTTTTCCCGGAAAATGGGAAAAACGGGAAAAATAATTTTTTTCTCAAAACCCATGTTGTGGGTACTTAAATTGTGCGGAATTTCCTCCTGAACAAGAATACACTATTAAGTAAAATATCACCGGAAAAGCGACCGCGCTGGCTACTTATGTACTGCCGTGTGGCGATAGCATTGCGGGTGACTCTAAGCCATTGTAGAATGCGGGCTTTATTTTGGGTTAGGATTGGCTAGGTTAGGTTAGGTTAAGTTTGGTTAGGTTAGGTTAGGTTAAGTTAGTTTAGGTTATGTTAGTTTAGGTTAGGTTAAGTTTGATTAAGTTAGGTTAGGTTAAGTTTGGTTTGGTTAGGTTAGGTTAGGTTAGGTTAAGTTTGGTTTGGTTAGGTTAGGTTAAGTTTGGTTTGGTTAGGTTAGGTTAGGTTAAGTTTGTTTAGGTTAGGTTAGGTAAGGTTAGGTTTGGTTAGGTTAGGTTTGGTTAGGTTAGGTTTGGTTAGGTTAGGTTAGGTTAATTAGGTTAGGTTAAGTTTGGTTAGGTTAGTTTAGTTTATCAATAACATGAGTTTTGTAAGTAAATGGACCTAAAATTGTGGTATGCGGGCTTTATTTAAGGTTAGGTTAGTTTAGGTTAGGTTGAGATTGGCTAGGTTAGTTTACTTACAATACTCATGTTATTGATAAACTAACCTAATCTAAACTAACCTAATCTAAACTAACCTAACCAAACCTAACCTAACCAAACCTAACCTAACCAAACCTAACCTAACCAAATCTACTTAAACTAACTTAACCTAACCTAAACTATACTAACCTAACCAAACTTACCTAACCTAACCTAAACTAACCTAACCAAACTTAACCTAACCTAACCTAACTTAACCAAACCTAACTTAATCAAACTTAACCTAACCTAACTTAACCTAACCTAACCTAACCAAACTTAACCTAACCTAACCTAACCAAACTTAACCTAACCTAACTCGAAATAAAGCCCGCATTCTACAATGGCTTAGAGTCACCCGCAATGCTAGCGCCATGCGGCAGTACATAAGTAGCCAGCGCGGTTGCTTTTCCGGTGATATTTTACTTAATAGTGTATTCTTGTTCAGGAGGAAATTCCGCACAATTTGAGTACCCACAACATGGGTTTTGGGAAAAAAATTATTTTTCCCGTTTTTCCCATTTTCCGGGAAAACGGGACGTTTCCGCAAAAAATGAAAATCATTTTTGGAATCAGCATTAAAAAACGAACAGATTTAAAAAAAAAATTAATTTTTAGAGCGTTGACTGGAGGTCGACATAATTACCTATGGCCTTATTGTGATAATTTTTGGCAAACTTTAAACGCGATTATGAGGGTGAAAACGGCGTTTCCCCCAAAAGTGTTAAATGTAAAAAGTGCTCAAAAAAGTCTAATTTAGGTAAATAAAGTAAAAAAAAGTCAAAATAACATAAGTAGTGAAAACTCAGTTTTACCATAAAATTAAATAAATAAGCTAGGCTAGGCCTATTTTCAATAATTATTATCAATCAATTATTTATCAATTAACTTAACTTAGTTGAGCTAGATCAAATTCAGGCTTAACTTACTTCCCCCACTCTGCTTTTCAAAGATGATGATTTTTCCTCCACAGATACAGGTAAAGATTTGGAATCTGGATTTATAGGAGTGGCCGCAGATACTGATCCATAAAGTGGTAGTCCAGGGTACTTTTTCATGCCATCGTTGGATATTAAACTATTCCTCTCAATGTAGAGTCCTAACAAATATCCCGCACAACCAACGCTTCCATATCGAAGAATTCCTTTCAGGTTCATTATTTAAATTTGTAGATGTTTCAAACACTTGTAATTTTTAAGTTAGGCCTAGGTCTAACTTTTAAGATATAGGCCTAGGCCTTGTAATTAATACAAATAATGATAGCAAAATGTTAGGGCCTATATGTTTAACTAATATAGGCCTAGATATCCTTATATTATTTTACAATTCGATTGCAAATCATAAAGACAATGGTTTCTATGGGGGGGGGGACGTACCAGTAAGTTAGGCCTAAGTTCTGAGAATTAAAATATATTGCTACTAGACCTAACTTAGGCTATTAGTATCCAATTAATAGTCAACGCTATTATATAAAAGTACAAAATCAGTTGACCTTAAAATTGATTGAAGCCCGGTTAAGAATAATAATCACTCAATTCCTCAAAGGTGCGTAGAACGGGAAGTAGAAAATTATATAATAGGTAGGCCTACATAAAATAATTTATAACCTTTCCCCTTTACAAAATGTAAATACAAATTTGAGGTTAGGTCTTGGTCTTAGGTTGTTTCCGTTTGGCAATGGCAAGACTGGACTGAGACTGAGACTGACTGACTGTGACTCGTGACGTGACGTGCTGACGTGCTGTCGACTCCGACCGTCACTGTCAGACTAGTCTGACTCAGACTGTCTGTCTCTTTTCCTTTTCCATTTTCCACCGTTTTCTCAATTATTGAGTTTATGAGGATTATCTTTATAATAGTGCCATGAGACTATAAAGCCCCCCACACACTACCAGACCAGACCTCCAGACCAGACCGTCTGGCTGCAACCAGACCGTCTTGGACGGCTCTACACACTCCCAGACCCAGACGGTCTAACATTCGTAATTGAGAGACGGTGGTGAGAACTCCAACAAATGAATGAAGACTGTCACGGTCACGATGGTCGGCCGTCTGACAGACAGCGCTACACACTCACAGACCAGACAAAAATAGTGGTGGGGGAACCTCAGACCGTCTGTGGTCTGAGGGTTCAACCATCAGAGAGAACCATCTGTGAGTGTGTAGCGCTGTCTGTCAGACGGCCGACCATCGTGACAGTCTTCATCCATTTGTTGGAGTTCTCACCACGGTCTCTCAATTACGAATGTTAGACCGTCTGGTCTGGGAGTGTGTAGAGCCGTCCAAGACGGTCTGGTCTGGAGGTCTGGTCTGGTAGTGTGTGGGGGGCTTAAAAGTTCGATCCTACAAGGTTAGGTCTCGCCATTGACTGGCGATTGATTAGAGGCAGTGTGGCAGAGCAAGCCAGCAATCAGCATCAGCAAGTAAACTTAATACTGTAATACAATAAAATCGGCATAAATTGTGTGTTCAATTGATAGTATCATTGACTAAACATACATTTAGTAACAAACAATTTTTTACATTTAGTTTTTAGAGAAAACAGTAAGAGTATTAATTTTATATATTAAGTATTCCGAGAGATTTCAGGGCTAATTGTTTATATTGCTCAAAATAATCAATCAAATCAAATAATTTAGGCCTATTATCATGGACATTATGCATTGACATCGTCAGTGGAGCAGAACATAAAGTCAATGTTATTGTCTAACTATTGGCCTATGAGTTAAAAAAGTCTGTTGTACAAATTACTTTCAAATATAGGGTTAACAATCTCAACACAATAGACGATAAACAAAGTTAACAAATGAATAATTAACAAAATTGAAGAAAACAAAAATAGGCCTACTATATAGAAGTAATTGACATGATTTAGATGTAAAGTTACAGAGTTATCACAGGTTGTTCAAGAAACTCTTTAATACCGTAAAAAGGACCTGTACATGACAGTAGTACGTGTATTTTCTCATTTTAATCCACAAATTAAAACCAAAAACCTCGAGTGATAAGTATAAAGTTACCTTTTGTTTTGTAGTTGCCTTTAGTTCTAAAAGGGCAACACCAAAACATAAGGTAACTTAGTTAAAAGGTTCTTGAAACTGGGTAACGTATTAACATTGAGTGACATTAGAGACTAACTTAATATGTTTAATCCATGGTGTTACGAATGGGAAAAACCACGGCCGCCTTTTAACTCCAGGCCGCGGCCTTCGAAGTGGCAACGTCGCAAAGTAGGGTTGTAACAGCTGTTTTGTTTGGAACCAACTATAGTCCGTCCGTTTGGCTATGATACCCAGTGGATCAGGAACCTTCTCGGAACTCAACTCACCCTCTCGACCCGCTCGTCGGGCTGGCCGGAGACAAATGACTCATACCCACTGGCACAGTCCAAAAGATTTGTAACTTTTTTGTTTTAAGTTAAAATAAATTGTTATTTATAGCCTAAATTTGAGTTTTTACATGAAATTCCAAAAATAATGAGCCCAAACACGATGTGGATATCTATTATCTGAAAGTACAATTACTCTGTATCTTTACGAGCTTTGTCAAACTTTCAGATCGTAGATATTAAGTATCCACATCGTGTTGGACTCATTATTTTGGAATTTAATGTAGAACTAAAAAACTGTGTATTTTAACTTACAATAAAAACTTGGGACCGTGACAGTAGGTAGGTAAACTGCGACGGCCAGCCTGGCGAGCGGGTCTGGAGGGTGAGTCGAGTTCCGAGAAGGTTTCTTTTCCGCTGGGTATCATAGCCAAACGGACGTACTATAAATGCTATTTGTGTATTTGCGAAGGCTTAGTTACTGCTGGACTATGGAAATATCGATTCCGCTTGAAATGAACAGAATGGATTATCAATTCATATTGTTTTGGTTTTCAAATCTGTATGTTTTATTTTCAATATTTTAATACATTTATATTCTTAAATTTAAATCAATAAAGTGCGAATTAATGAGCTGATGTCACCTGTCTGCCATGTTATCTTATGGGACGTCTGACAATAAACAACCCTACATGCCACGTTACCAATTCTACCAGGCCGCAGCCTGGAGTTAAAGGCGGCCGTGGAAAGAGTTATTTTTAACAGAATCAAAAATACTATATAAAATCAAAGCACATCCAAAACTATGACTCTTCATTATACAGAGATAAAAAAATATTGAAAAGTATTCATAATAGTAGCATTGATTATACATCTATCAAGATACGTATATAATAATCAATGCCCGTATCAAAGAACAGTTGCGAGAACAGTGTACAACAAACTATTTATTCTACGCTATAATTATAACTATTACATACAGTTGTCAAGTTGCGTGTACATCCTAAATAGTGGTTGTTCTACCGTTAACTGTTTTATCTAAAAAATGGTTCCACTGAGCCAAAAAACCGGAGGTAGCAGTGGCAGTGGCACGGCAACGGCAACTCTGCTGTTGATATAAAGCTAAGGAAGTCTGCCCATTAGCTCGTAAGCTTATGTATGTACAATTTATTGATCAAATATGTGGATTTTTATCCTTGACAAAAAGCACCAAAGCGAACAAAATAAACAGCTCTTTGTCTTATCAAAATTGTTAGGGAGCTGAATAGGTTTGTTACTAAATAATTTAGCAACTGTCTGCTAAATGATGCTTTGTTTTTTTCTAAGAAGTAGCTCTTAATTTGTTGTCAATTAATCCGCAATCTTTCAGAAAATTAGTCCTCTATTCTTGTGTGTTTCTATCTTAATGACTCTACTCTACTAATCTAATCCACTAAGGTTAGGCGTAGAAGACCTCTTCCAATGTTATATATTAACACTCCCATATACAGTAGTAAGTTGGAGGCTTCAAAATTTTAAAAAATGTGTCGAAAATTAAAATTATTAGTTATTCGAGTATAAAGTTTACACCAAGAAAAGAAAGACATAAGAAAATAACCTGTCTCCTATTATCCTAAAACCATTTTATAATGATTCTCCGGTAATTTTTCTGGGTCATGGCATATTTATCAAATTGTAGAAAGTCGCCATTGGTGATTAATTTTAACTCAATCATCCAAAAGACAGAAGTCTGAGGCTCCAAACTTTTGGCGTCACTCTATAGTATTTGTATCTGCATCATCCGCAAGTTGTATAAGTGTCACCATGACACCTTTGACAATACAATTATGACTAATTTGAGTTTTAAATAAACATCATTTATGTAAAACCGTTTATTTTAATGCTATTCAAATTGTAAATCAATTTGTTTTAGAGGTAGGGTGCTCTCATAATAACAACCCAATAAATATGTGGGTTACTCAGATTTTCTTCAAACAGACGCTCCTATCATTTTCATCATTTTTACTAAGACTAGCTGTTTCATTAGGCAGGGCCATTTATTTAAAACCCTATGATCGAGAACCGCTGGATACAGTTTAGAACCATAAAAAAACTACTTACTTTTCTCATGATCGAACCGGTGACCTTTTGATTACTATGTGAGCACTATAAACACTCAGGCACCTCGTCATCAGCTATATACATATTAATACGCAAGCGATTACGACTGGACGGATTTTAACGTTTGATGTGTCAAATGGAAGATTTTATAAATTTCACAAAAAATAGCCCTTTGGCCTAGAATATGTGATTTTTGGAAGTCTTTATTATTATTGCTATATTGACCTGCCCAATTCCTGCCCCTGGACTACGGACGGAAACTACAAGTGCAAGTATGCCAGTACAAGTAAAGGTATAATGTCACGTAGATGTGCAAATACGTCGCAAAACATTAAGAAAGGGCACAATAAGGGCTAAATTTTTGGAACGGTGGCGCTATTTGTCGACATTGGATCACAATCAATTGTCTTTGTGTACAACTAAACATATGGGCATGGTTTGAAATAGTTCTTCAGGTTAACCACAGAGTAAAAAACTAATTAATTTCTGAGCAAAGTTTTAAGTTTTATTTTAAAACCTATTTACTAAGTCTGCTTCATAAACATTTTTTTTACAAGTATTTATTTAAAACCTACATTCTAACGAGTGCAACATACAAAACAAAACATTTATAAAAAAATTAAACTATAAACGATTTGGAAGATCGATTGGATGTATTACTGCATTATTACTATTTGGATGTATTATGCCAGAAAATTTGGATGGTTTTCTAATTTTCTTTGGTATTTTTCGCTTGGTTTTTTTTATTTCTTCTCATATGAAAGTTAATTTTGTAGCAAGAAGTATAACATTTATTTGAGATGAACCGAGGTGCTTGTTTATGACGTGATGAGGCTACAAATTCTACGTAATGTCTGACCGCAATGAACTCCGCTTAAGTGTAGATCCATGTAAACAATTTTATAAACGAAAAACTGCGAATTTCAGTAGCGTCAAAAATGGAATCCTGTCAAAGAGGTTATGTAAATTGATAAAAGAATCATTCAATTGTAAATTTATAGACATGTATCAACAGACATTCTGTAATAATAATACACTAAGGGATGGATATTTGAAAATACACACACTATTTACATCTTGTTCTTTGGAGCATGTCTGAACAACCAAAAGGAATCTCTACACAGTATTAGTTACTTTCTATATTCAGTATTTCCTGTTTTTGTCTATTCTGGGTCATATGAGATGGTCACTGTATTCTCTTTAGAAAGTAGACCAGCTTCGTTTCG